AGGGGGGAGCGGGGGTCTGGGCGGCGGGGGCACCGCCTCCCCGGGCAGCCTGCGGAGCTCAGCGCGGGGAGCTGGAGCTCGCCTGTCCGGAGACCAAACTTAACGTCCGAAGGCGAAAACCCGGCATATTCGGGGGAAAAACCGACATATTCGGGGGAAAACCCGGCATTTTCGGGGGAAAACCCGGCATATCCAGGGGAGAGGTGGATCCACTGAGGAGAAAGTAGCGCTTCCAGGGGAAAACTAATATATCCCGCGGAAAGGTGCACCCAGTGGGGAAACAGGAACGTGTCCCGGGGGAAAAAAACCCCAAGGTATCCAGTGAGGAAAAAATGGCATTTCCACAGGAAAAGCCGAGGCACCCGGGGGGGGGGGGGCATATCCAGCCAGGAGAGCGCAGCCCAGGCCGCGAGGGGAGGGAAGCGCGTGGCGGGAGTCGTGTGCTGACAGGAAAAATTAATGTATCAGGGAGGGAAACGGTAATTTGTCCAGAGGATTAAAACTAGCATACCTGGAGAGAGAAAAAAATGGCACCGGAGGAAATGGCAGCCCCACCACGACAGGGACCCGCTCCTTCGCCTTTGCCAAATATCCCCTCGTTTGGGAGGGAAAGGGCCGGTGCGGCCACGCCGGCCGGGACCGAGGGGTGCAGAGCTGCCACGTTCGTGTCTGGGTGGGCCTGGGGCAGGCAGGGGGTGCGGGTCCGGGAGCACCCCGGTTCAGGCTCTGCACTGGCGTTAACCGCACCCTGGGCAAGAAGAGGGGAGGGTGCAGAAGAGGGGAGGGTGCCGCAGGTGCCTTCCTGAGAGGAGAGTAATTTGGGTGCGCGGCAGTTTCGGGATGGGGCAGCAAAATGGGTAGTGCCTGAAGTAGCTCCTGAGCCCCCTGCGTGAGCCCGCCTGAGCCCGGCCCTTCTTTTCTTGGAGGAAAACAGGCATGTCAGGCCCAGTCCCCGTTCACATCAGCAGCAGATTAAGCTAACGCCACTAAACGAGAGGGTTTCTGGTGTAAAAATAAAGGCAGATCAAAACAGGGCCAGAAAGCGAAACTCAAGTCAGTTTAGTTTTCGCAGAAAACTGAAAATGGAAAGCAGCGGTTTCGACTGCTAAGTACGGTTCCTGCTATTTTCCCCCAGCCTGACCCCAGCATCCAACGATGATCTTTTCCCGTTGTGAATGCAGCTCAACTCCACAAATAGGAGTTCTCAGGCTTGTATATTTTGTGCATATAAATCCAACACCCATTTGCATAAATAGATGCGTACTATCTGATGTACGTGCAAAATCAGACATTGCAGCTGAAAAATCTGGCCATTAAACTATTCCGTTAGATTCACACATTTCCAAAGGAATGAGCCACATAAATCCACTGAATGCATCTTTTGCTATTGAGTAGATTTAATAGCATTGTGTTAACACCTAGAGATGTTAGCAAAGAACTGAGACCTCATTGTATTAAGCTCTGTAGACACGAATAATGAAAAGATTGTTCCTACCCCGCTAATTTACAGCCTTAGTGGATTATGGGGTTTATTCTGTTTTTAAACAAGTATTTCTGAGTTTGTTATATAACATCCAATAAATCCCATCATTGTATTAAATTTCGTGTGTACCCTTTTTTTATGAAGCACTTTCACAAAAGTAGAAATAATCGAGTGACACTATCAAAGCAAAAATAAATCCTTATATGTATATGTAAAATCTAAATTGGTCCCTTTTATTTTTATCCTAAATTCCAAAGTTAGCAGTAGATCGTTCCAGGTTGAAGGGCAGCTGCGGTTGTTGCTATTTAAACAAAACTACAAGTACTCTGGAGGCTTGTGGGTGTATTTTGGGTTTGTGCAACTGCAGTGTGGATATTTCCTTGTGAATACCTATGGCCAGTTATTTTGACTCTTGCTGGACTACAGCTGTTGCTATGCATGTGCTCGCTCTGTTTGATAACTTTGTTAATATGACAAGTTCTACAAGTATTGTCAAAATAAGTCTGACACCACAACAGATTGTGAAGAAAAGGCAGAGCAGTAGGGAAAAAAAAAAAATAGAATTCTTCAACATGTTTACTGTTGATTTCTAATCTGATGGCAAATTGATTTTTTTCCCAAACTAGTTTGCCATCCCTCTTTTCTGAGCCGCGGTGGCTGACTTCTGTACTTGGGGAACAAGTCTGCAAATGGAGTGAGTATGCTCTCCAGTTAGGTTTGTAATAACGCCGGCCTACGTGAGACACCGGGTACCTTCCCAAACTGAGCTGTTTCCAGAAGGATCAGGGGCAAATACAGATCCAGTGTTCAGACAGTGGAAATCACTGTTTTACACATGTCGTCGTTTTCACTCTAACTTTTTCCTTCAACTCTTGACACTCCAATTAATTTTGGAAGGAATTAAAGTTTTGCTAACTGATTAGCTACTATTTCAACTACCTCCTCGTTTAGAAGCACTTAACATGAAGTGCTTATAAAATATCTTCCTTCAGATCTTTAAGGAAAATTAAAATACACCACTTACATTTTTGTACCTATTGCATTTTTCACGAACTATTGCATTTAAGCGTACAGGTCTGAGCTGGGCCTGAACATACGTTATTTGAGGGGGGTAGCTTCAGACTCTCGCTTCGCTTTGAGTCCGCTGAGAGACTGGGTATGAAT